GTGTGTGTGTGTATGTGTGCACATGGTGGGTGGCGGGGGGGTGGGGCGACTCCTCCCCCCCCACCAATCAATCAATCAATCAATCAATCAAACCCCTTTTTTTTATTATTTTTTTTATTTTGCATCTGCATTTTTTCAAAACACCTCATACTTCTGCAAAAAAACATGAATTCATTTCTAAAAAGATACAGGTAAACTCACAGACCATATATCTTATGATAAAAAATGACCAAAAAAAAATCATGTTTTTCTTTATATATTTTTTTTAATTTTGTTTAAATCGATTTTAGTTTTTGATTTTTTTAAAATCTTAAACAAAGTCGGATTCCAAAAAAAAAACTATAGGAGTGTAGGGTTTTTTTAGCCCTACACGCCCATATATATATATATTTTTTCATGCATTAGAAAAAAGAATAAAAATCTTGCACCGAAGTCGGTTGGTCGGCCTAGGCTGAACCTGGCCGATTCGGCAATCGGCCTAGGCCGCGGCCGATTTGGACCCCCCGGCCGCGGCCGGGCGTGCAACATAGGGTACAGATGTTACGAAGCAGGAAAATGACGAGGCTGGTGTCTGTCTCGCTCTTGATATCTGTTAGTAACGGTCCTACGTGTTATTTGAGGGGACCAAGTACCGGTACGTGTGGTATTACTTGGATGTCGTGATTGCTAGTCTTCTGGGACCAGTGTTAGCATATTGGATAGTTAGCGATACCGGGGACTATATGAGGTATGATTGCTAGTCTTCTGGGAGAACCGCGTGGCTGCGGCCGAAACCGGTTGGGGAGCCATATCCCAACCGGCATGCAATCATTTGAGACCTATGTACAAGTGTGTTTTCTCGTACCTTGTACGTACCTTGTACGTCCTATGTACAAGTGTGTTTTCTCGTACCTTGTACGTGAATGGACATGAGCTTTTTGACCTCACTTGTGTACGTGCATGAGTTTGGATCTGTGTTTATGTACTTTTCGCAACCTTTCGGCTTACCTCTGAAGGCACGTGTGAACCCACTTGGAAGACGCTGAGTGAGTGTGAGCATGATTTTGTTACTGGATGAAGCTTGGTGTTATGTTCGAAGTTGACGAGGCAGCTAGTATGTCCTAGTGACCAGGATGTGAACTTGTATTGCGTGAAGGCGCAGTGGATGTGAGGTGCGCTCTGATGATCTGTACATCGTTTTTGTACTTCGATCACGGGATTTACGTAACTTTCGATGCTCCGAGTTGGCGTGATCTATCTGGTTGTACACTTGTTGTATTTGGGTAACCCGTGTGTAAGATTGGGGGTACTTGGCTGACAACATTGATGAGGGGTTCTAGTTACAATGACTTTGGGCGCGAGAACCGTCGGGAGCGGGGCGTGGAACATGGACGCGATTACACGCGTCGTGAGGGGGGAAGCGGACGCCAAGGAGATGGGCGCGGAGACCGCACATGGGAGCATGGAAGCTCCAGCCAAATGGAACGGTATGAGGACCCTCCACGTCGTTTCGTTCCCGTCTGCTTTGAATGTGGTGAACCGGGCCACTATAGGAACCAGTGCCTGAAGCTTGGTGGAGATGGGTGCTCAAGGTACACTGGCCAGCGCGGACGATCTTCGCCACCAAGGCAGCAGTCACGCGCGCCGGCACCAAGAGCAGCTTCCGAAGATCCGGCTCTGAAACGATAGATTGAAGAACTCTCTGCATCACTGGCAATTATGAAGGAGGGGTTCAATGCTGTTAAGTTTGAGAGGGAGGAGAAGAAAAAAAAGAAAATGGAGAGACAGGAACGTCTGAAGAGAGAGGAGGAAGAACGGCAAGCTGCGGAGGAAGCTCGCCAAGCGGGTATTCGACGAGCAAAGAAGAAGGAGGAGAAACTCCGAAAGAAGGAGGAGAATCGGGAGAAAATGCGGAAGGAGATGTTAATGGAAATTTCCCTCCATGTGGGCAGGCTAGATGAGTCGATGCAGCGCCGCTATGAGCGTGAGACCAAGACACGGGAGATGGGGAAGCAAAAAGAAGTTGAACCATCATCAAAGGAGGATTATGCGGAATCGGACGATAGTGACGTCGACGCGCTTAGCCGGCACACGGAACGGCTTGTCATCTCCGAGAAACGCAAGAGGAGTGCCGATAAGCCAGTAGGGGACAACCCTCCGATGGAAACGCCAGCAAAACGGACGTCTAAGCGACGAGTGCAACTCGGATGCAGACATTCTCCGATGAAGCGGACTAGACTCCGATGACAGGGAGAAGAAAGATTCCCGCTGCACCGGGATCGGTGGGTAAGTTGAAATTTGTGACGGATAACCTCAGGCAACTGGGAAACATGACGGTGGACGAGCTGAAAAGTATCTGCTTATTGGAAGATGTGATCTATGACGGGAAGAAGATGCAAGTCATCCTGGCGATAACCGAGAAGCGGACGCTGATGGCGTATGGGGACTTGGAGGAGACAACAACTAGCGTTGGTGCTGAAGTCGACCCGGGGGATGATAACAAGGATGATGAGAAGGATGCCGAAAGCGGCGCGTGAACGCCTAGTAAGCTGTGGGTCCTGTGAGGGCATCTGATAGAATCGTGTCGTCAGGATATGTACGATTAGAACGTGGAGCTATTGTATAGATTGGTAGTTATTACTATGGCTCTGTATGATGAGATCCGTTGGCTCAAGAAATGTGTTGCATCGTGGGTTGAACTGTATCGACAGCATGGCGTAGGTTGTTTCACTCAGGAAGCTAGTTGCGTCTACATCCTTACCTCACCGTTGTGTCGTGCACAGTACGTCAGACAGATTAATAGAAGTGGCAGGGTGCGCTGGAAGAAACACATATCGGTGTGTAAGCGAGGACGAAAGTCTAACCACCTGTATAGATGGTGGAGATCGTTCGGAGAGGAGTCGTATGTCTTAATCCCTATGGATAGGTGTCAACGGGCAGATTTGGCACTAATCGAGGGGTTGTATATTCGAAGGTGGTGCCCGACGCTTAACACCTCAGGGGAGTCTACTATGAGGGAGGGTTCCGGACGAAGAAGGAAAGGATGTAAGGAGAGGGCAAGGTCCTTATCACAGTGGAAGGTCGAACAAACCGCTTTGTCCGCCATACCATTGAAGTTAAGCCTGAGTGAATCTGAAGAAGGAAGCGCGAATCTGTACCAGCTCCTATGCACACAAGTTGACGCAACTGTATGCAGGGTGTGCGAAGTTCGCACTACATGCGAGCGGTGGGAACTGTTGGTGTGGCAGATGGAAATCCATTCGATCAAGTTTCGGCAGATCTTTGATGAAGGTAAACGGTCGACGATGCAAATTACTTGAGTGCAAACAGGAGATGGAGAGGGGTGCTATAGTGAACTTTCTGCACCTACGCAGATGGAAGCCCAAGATTAACTCTGACAAGAATTTCTTGGTTTCTATACTACGCTATCCACGGAGAGTTGGAGTATTACGCTCATGCAGTCTCGACGTTTTGATAAGACAGATGAGCGCCGCCTATGATTTTCAGAACGCGACGTCGACAACTTATTTGCGAAGGATAATTGGTAGGGTGGTGAAGAGTGAATTTGGATGGAACGTCAACTCTAGTTTGACGGTGAACCTCAAGTTTTACGATCGGATTCGCGTGGTCGAAGTGAGGAAACTACTCAATGATAAAATCAAGGAACTGGAGATGCCAGACTGTATGAAGATGTCTGCACGAAGCAGAGTCTGCATCATTTGGGTGAAGAACCCTTCGGTGGGCGACCTGCTACATAATCAGCGGGCTTTCGCCCGAGCTGAAGTGGCAACCTGCTGTTGCGCAGGGTTTCCCTATCCTCGGATAGGTGGTCACATGCAGGCGAGACTACAGGAGTTGGATGATGTTCATCCTCTCATGGTGAACGTAAATAACGTGCCTAAACTCACCCACCCGGATAGGGGAAGCCTGCTATTGCAGGAGATCACCCGTGGGTTGGTGTCTTGGGTCAACTATCGTGGACCAGAACCGAAATTAAATAGGTGCGATATAGCCAAGTGTATGACTCCAGTCCCGGAGGCGAAGACTAAGTTTTTGGATGCTTCGGACGTGCAACGTTTGAAGAAGAAGCTGGCTGGTTAGGTGTGTACACCTTTGGACACAAACCCGGGGGAAACCCTGGTACATTTGCCCGAAGGTATACTATGAGGCGATGCTGGAACTGTTCGTCGCCAGCCCGGTCACGTCGTGACTGCGAAACAGGAGGAGGACATGAAGTCGACGCTGAGACAGGAAGCAAAGGAATTGGGACTCTCCTGATTCTTGCAATGGGATAAGAAGGGGAAGATCGGGGAAGCTTATGTTATTCCAAAGCATAAGGACCTTACCCGTTTTCGCCCAATCTGTCCCACGTACTTGGAACCTACGGTGCGAACCTGTAGGATGGTAGCTAAAGTGCTTAATCATATGTTGTTCACCCTTCCGGGTGATTGGCATTTCAACCTTAAGTCGGTGACGTCTCTGGTGCCACGATTGGAGTAGAGTAACTGTAGGATTGGGAAACGAATGGGGATCGGCTCGGAACTGTCAGCGGTGTCCTACGACATCAAAGACATGTTCAGCAAGCTACCACACACTGACATTGTGGAGGCAGTTAATTGGGTAGTGGACTACCATGTGGGTAAGGGGAGATTGTCGGCTAGAAAGAATACGCGAGGTAAAGTGTGTACATTTGGACGTACACCAGGCGATGATCATTGGCGGAATGTGGATCTGTAGCAGGTTAAACAGTTCGTCAACCTGGACCTGAAGCACACCTATACGCGAGCCACCGGTGTCCTGCTGAGACAGGTGGTGGGAATTCCAATGGGGAAGAGCACAAGCCCCCCATTGGCGTGTATAATGTGTGCGTACACAGAATACAAGTTCCTGAGTGGGTTGGGGAATCCCAGGTGGGACGTTTTCGGGATTCGGTTGATGGATGATGTAAGTCTGGTAATAGTGCATCGAAGGCGCAGTAAGATGTCCGTAGAGCATGTTCGTGTGATGTTCGAATGATGCTATCCTAAAAACCTGCAACTCAAGCGGACGGACGACATGTCCGATACTTGGGATTTCTTGGGTACACACTTGAGTGTGAATCCGATTCAGCCGCATCTTGCATGTTTTCAGCTGGCCAAGAACCAGCGCACTATCTGGCATGACGATGTGCTGGAATTCAAGAACGACCAATCTTTCAGGTCGTGGGGCAGCAAACAACAAAAGAACTACGGTCAAGAATTTCCATGCAGGTCTTGAGCTTGACCAGGGAATTACGAATGAAGGACTTCCCGTCAGAATTTGTGGAACGGGTAGTCAAAAGTTTTGCCAAAGGTCGTGACAAGATTTGGAGTCAGACTGTGAATTGGCTCTACACTGGTTAGAGCTGTCTTGGTATCAGGTACAACATTTGGTTGTATACCATCCTGATATTCGTTGTCCTTTTCTGCTTTCTTACTTTCAGTTAGATGTATTGATACGGGTTTTTTACACAGCTGTGTAAGGATTACTGCACAAGGGTAGTAATAGAGAGCGATGTGCTGTGACCTGGGTTTCATAGTGCATAAGGGTAGGGATAGAGGGCGATGAGCCAGGATCTGTTTTCATAGCCCGCGGGTGGATTCGAACACTGTATTGCTGGGAATGTTAGGACCTGTTTCGTAGCTTGGATCGGTTTTCGTAGCCCACGGGTGGATTTGAACACTGTATCACTGGGAATGTGCTAGGACCTATTTCGTAGCCCACGGGTGGAGTCGAACAATGTACCATTGGGAATGTGCTAGGATCTGTTTCGTAGCTTACGGGTAGATTAGAAGAATTGTATCGCTGGGAATGTTTTTTGATCCCGATTGGCCTGCTGTTTGTTGTGTTTATTGTTTCTTGTTTTTCTGCTTTTTTGTGTTTTTTTGATGTATATGGCTAAAAACGTCGACACATAGCAGATACCTGAGGAAAAAAAGTACAGACGTTGCGAACAAGGAGAATGACGAGGCCGATTTGTCTCGTTCTTGGTACCTGTCAGTAGCGAATATTGTGGCGCTGGGAATGTGTTTTTTCGATCCTGAGTGGCCTGCTTGTTTGATTGCGTTCATTGCTTCATTTTTTCTTTGCTCTTTTGTTTCATATGGTTGAAACTTTCGGTACATTGCAGATACCTGGGAATAGGTACATATGTTACGAAGCAGGAAAATGACGAGGCTGGTGTCTGTCTCGCCCTTGATATCTGTTAGTAATGGTCCTACGTGTTATTTGAGGGGACCAAGTACCGGTACGAGTGGTATTACTTGGATGTCCTGATGGGGTAAAAATTGGGACTAGTGTTAGCATATTAGATAGTTAGCGATATCGGGGACTATATGAGGTATGATTGCTTGTCTTCTGGGAGAACCGCGTGGCTGCAGTCGAAACCGGTCGGGGAACCATATCCCAACCAGCATACAATCATTTGAGACCTATGTACAAGTGTGTTTTCTCGTACCTTGTACGTGAATGGACATGAGCTTTTTGACCTCACTTGTGTACGTGCATCAGTTTTGATCTGTGCTTATGTACTTTTCGCAACCTTTCAGCTTACCCGCTCAGCGTGAACTCCGTGAACTACGACCGGTCACGTTTTTCGTGACCGGTGGCCGGCCCTCGTTAACCAACCCCGTGAACGGTGAACAGGGGTACGACACTAGTGTGTAGCGTATTGAGGATGAAGATGTTGCGGCTGCTGCTTCTTTCTTTCTTTTTTATCATGAATGCTTACTCAGACAGTTTAAGTACTTCTGATTTCGTTCCCACCACACACCCCTTGCACCCTTTCCCCGTTCTACCTGCTTTTTCTATCGATAGGACTTTTTGGAGTGGGACTTGCTTTATGACGGGTTACTTCCGTAATTTTCAAGGACTTGAGTGAATGGTTTATCGCACTTCCCTCCAGAGGTTTTTTTGATCGTATTGTCCCCCTCTTCAGCCCCTGCCGTTCTTCCTCCCCCTTGCCCCCTTCCATCCTTTTCCTCCTCATCTTTTTTTTCTCCCTGTCCTTCTTTTGTCTTTCTCCCTCCTTTCTTCCCTTGGAAACTCCAACGAGTATCCCGTATCATTTGCTTTGGGACTTGCTTCAACATGAATGATACTACCCAGTAGGATTGAGAGAGTTTTTTTCGCAGAGGTTATTACAAATTTTTTTTTTTACGCAGTGCTTCACCTCTCCTCTCGTGATTGCAATAAAAAGTTGGGTTGAATTTTGTCGTTTAAAATCGTATGGCTCGCCGTGACTATACTCGCAGCCCGTCGCGGGGGTTTGGCCTTGTATCAAAACACACACCCACTCTCTCTCTCTCTGGCCAATTTCTCTCTCTCTGTATCTCTCCTCTCTCTCTCTCTCTCTCTCTCTCTCTCTCTCTCTCTCTCTCTCTCTCTCTCTCTCTC